TCTGGTGCACGCTTCGCACTCCCTTGGATCCAGAAGTATCCTGGGTCTGGGTGCATTCGGGCTCGAAGGCGACCCTTAATCTGTTACGTTGTGTTTGAAATACAGTCCAGCCTGGTACCTGCAGGCAGCGGTCAGTCTCCCCACACTCCTCTCTCCTCCCGCAGGTGTACTCTGGGTACAGGTTCCTCCTGGCGGCCAGCGAACGCAAGCTGCCCATCGCCATCCTCAACATCGGCCCCACCAGGGCTGACCGCCTGGCCAGTGTGAGGGTCAGCGCGCGCTGCGGGGAGGTGCTGCCCAGCATCCTGCCCCTCTGAGGGGGGGGGGACCAAGGAGGCACATCTGGCGGACAACCCCCTGGACTGCCTGTGGGAAAACTCAGGGACGCAGGGGATGCTGGGAGATACACACATTCTGGAGCTCCTTTGCCCTCCCTTGTCTGTAAAGAACGGGTACAGAGCTGCCTGCTTCACAGAATGCAAACCAGCATGGTGCCATCCTCTGGGTTGCACGTGGGCAAAATGTGGCCACACTGCGCAAGATCTGGCATCGCTGCAGAAGACAAGGGGGCAGCAAGTGGCCACCCTGCCGATCCGGTTAATAGAAACTTAACGCCTGCGGACACTTCCGGAGTCGAGGGGTTTGTCGCCCAGCTGACTCGGCATCCACAGTTTGTTCTACCAAGCTCTAATAAAGCACTTTGTCATTTTTTTGTCAGCTCTCGTCAGTGCAGCAGGATAACTATCTTTCCCCACTGTTCCTCAGTGTTTCTCAAACTGTTCACATTTTAAGTACTACAGATCTGTTTGTTTGGATTTTTTGCTCAGTTGTAGGTAATGCCATGTGTACACTGCAAACAGAAACACCCTGTTTCTGTCCTTGCAGTGCGGGCAGAGGGGAGAAACGCTGCATGCACACACACACGTGAGCCACAGCTCCTGGCCAGATTCTTTACAGAACACACAGAGATACTGACAGAGCAGGGGACTCCTGCCTCTGAAACACATCAACCCAAACTTGCAACTGTGCGTAAAAAGATTGACAGATTCTGCAGTCCTCCCTGCTTCAGACTTACTTCACTTAAGCCTCGCCTGCCATTACAAATGAAAAGCACAAGCCTGTTTCCTTCCACGCAGCCACTGAGCGATGATCAGAGTTTAATCAGGTATTATTTTGTCATATGATTTTTTTTTTCTTATAAGCAGATTTGGAGTTGCCCCTAAGGAAGACAGGACGCATGATTAGAAGATCGGTCTTTGGTTTAATAATAAAATACAATTATGAAAACATTCCACTACATACATTTATGCTAATACATTGCAAAATGTTTAGGATTCTTATTGGATCCTGCTCAAACATTTTTAAGTTTATAAGTTTGATGTACAGTATCAAAACAAGCCTTCCAGTATTTGGCATTCTTTTTACAACAGTTTGCTGAAATATACTTTATATGGAAACATTTGCTTTGGTATCTTTGCATAGATGGTAAATTGAAATATGTGCTTTGGTATACATTGTC